GAATTAGGTGGCCATGAAAACAGTGGTCATTCAGACTGTCCCAGACCAAAAAGGAGCCGCAGCCTGTTTAATTAGCACTTTGATTTACAGTAACATGCACTGGCAAACCCCCGGCATTGCTCGTTTTTATAACCCATACAGTCAGACTAGTAGGTGAGCTCAGACAAAGCACTGGCCTCACCTTTAATTTATTCTCTCCCAAGCCAGAGAGAACGAGCAGTGGGGACAGAGGGGGAGCACTGTAACCCCACACCTGCAGCTCAGTCTCCTAGCACTGCCTCTGTGACTCACCCTGTCACTGAAGAGAGGAGGGCCGTCTCTTGGTGTGGCTAGGAGGTCCGGGCTCTGAGGGTCATAAGATTCCCTCAAGACAGGACATGATGAGGAATCATAGCCTGCCACACACTCCAAAGAGTGTTGCTCAGAGGGACCTGGAACCAAGAGGACATAATGACTGTCACGCCTTTGGAACCCACCTGGAGGGGGTGGCCCTGGGCTCAGGGTGACCCATGCAGTCCTCAGAGTCTGGCCCATGCAGGATGGTGCAGAGCGGTGGCCTCAAGATGCTGCGAGTGTGCAGGGCCTCTTCTGAGCACAGGTCTGGGAGCAGACTGTCACTTTGGAGGTCGCCCCTCAGCTGTCCGCAGGCCGGAGAGCTCTGCGTGCAGCCTGAAGGCTACAGCTGGGGTCAGTGCCCAGCCAGCCTGCACAGTGGCACCATTAGGAATAAGCCACTGCTGTGGGCCGAACTGTGCCCCTGAAAAAGAGGTGTTGAAGTCCCAACCTCCAGTACCTCAGAATGTGACCTGATTTGGAACTAGGGTCATTGCAGTCGTAAACGAGGTAAGATGAGGTCATACTGGAGTAGGCACCTCACAGGAGGACACAGATGCTGAGTGAAGACAGACACACAGAGAACGCGCAAAGGTGGAGGCAGAGACTAGAGTGACTCATCCCAGCCCAGGACACCTACAACTACCAGAAGCCAGGAGGGAGCACCAGAGGATTCCATCCAGAGCTTTAGAGCGAGAACAGACCTGCCAACACCTTGATCTCAGACTTCCAGCCTCCAGGGCTGTGAGACAATAGGTTTCTGTTGCACAAGCCCGCAATCTGTGGTAGTTGTCACAGCAGCCACAGGGGCTAACATGGTTGCTTTCCTGTGCTCCACCAGCCTCGGGCACTCACTGCCAAGCAGCGAGCAACGTTTACCTTCCTCTCAGGTCTTGAGTCTTGGAGGCATTTGACCCAAAAGCTAACCTTCCTCACCCCGACACAGATGTGAGACTAGAGTGACCGTGCTATTGGGCGCCTGCCTCGGTTCGGGAAGTGGAAGTCTGCAGCAGCCCAAGGTCACAGCCTCTCTCCCCAGGTGCCCTTGGGTCTCCCAGAGCAGCCACCCTGGGATGCAGGTCCCAGCTGACCTGTGTGCACCCTGGACCTTCTGTTGGAGCCCTTTTTCTAGACTTCTCTCTCCCTGTGCCACACCCCCTTGAGGCCAGAGAGGCTGCCAGTCCAGTGAGGATGGAGCTGGGGTTCTGGTCCACGCAGCGGCTATCTCTGAGACTTGACAGAAAGGTCAGACTCGCAGAGACCACCACAGTCCCCTAGGGACCCTTCTGCTGGCTCCAGATCCGTGCTGCCTTGCTGTGGTCTACACCCGGAAGCTAGTGACTGGACTCGAGGACTCCTTCCCCAACCCCTCTTGGCAGCAGGAACAACAGAACTGCAGCCCCTAGTTCAATTCTGCCTTCCCGTGCCAGAGCACCCGACAGCAGGAAGAGCTGGAATTGAACCTGGAGTCCTCGCTGAAAAGGCGTTGGGGCATCGTCACCCTTAGCTTTCCAGCCTCTGTAGCACAGCGGGTGTCCCAGAAGGAGGCTGGATATTCAAACCATAGCGTGTGGTGAAGATGAGTCCCAGGAGGGCGGCCTGAGCCCCGTGGGGTTGAGAGGATGAGCCTGCGGAAATGGCGCTACAGCCGGAACCAGGAATGGGCGTTGGCCAGGCGGGGAGGATCAGATCTGCAAGTCCTTGGACTTCAGCACATAGAAATCGCCTGGGAAACTCATCTTGGTGCAGCCACCAGGGCCCCACCCACAGGGACTGTGACTCAGTGGGGCTGGAGCGAAGCCCAGACCTCCTGCCGTCTCCCGCTTTGTGCTATGAAATTTCCAGCGTCTCTTAGGTATGTTCTGTTCTTGCTTTGATCGTCAAGATAAACCTAGGAAGCCGCCCATCAGATATCCTCATCTCTGTTCTGAGAACGGGAAGGTGACACTCAGGGAGGTCAAGTGACTTTCTCCGTGTGGCCCGAGTGGCCACAGGTGGAGCAGCCTGGCCACTGGCCCTGCCCACGGCTCGCTGAGGTCCAGGGTGAGCCTGGTCACCTTTCTGAGCCTCTCTCTCTTTCCCTGAGAGATGGGGTGGTGGGATGCATTTGCAAACTTCTTTTTTGGCAGCGGGAGCCTTCTTTGAAGAGAAGTGTTGCACGTGTCTACATAGGAGACCGACCGAACGGAGCTGCTGCTGTTGCTGTGGGGAGGGGGGACGGGCCCACCTGTGCCCCGCCCCGCCCAGCACTCCAGCAGAGCCCGGTCTGAAAATCCAGATGACCGTTAAACAGCAGGATCTCCTTGCTTGGGGCTCACAGGACTTCAGGCCCCCAACAAAGGCAGACAGGCGACTTTTTCACTTAGGCCTGCTAACATCATTGCAAACGTCGTGGCTTTCGGCCCCGAGGAAGAGCAGGCGGCCCTGTGTCTGGGGTTCAGGGTGCCTGGGTTGGTGGGGGAGGGGGGTTGAGAAGAGAGAGAGGGTGGCGCTGGGTATTTAGGAAACAGAAGGGTTGGCTGGTGGGCCCAGCTGGAGGTGAGCATGTTCGAGGTGGTCCCCATTCTACTGCCTGTTTCCTAAGTGAAAAATCGTACATCCTGTTCAACCCAGAGGAGACATTAGTTCGAGATGAAATAGAGCAGCTCTTAAAAGTAGAAAGGGAAACAGGACTACGTTTGAGGGTTGCCACAAGGTGTGGCAACCTGCTGGACCTCGGCGGTGAGAGTAGCACCGCACACACCTGGGCGCACGTGTCCAGATGCTGTGGTCCCACATGGCTGGGCTGCCACTTCCCTGCTCTGCACAGGGCACATCCCTGGCAGGTACCAGAATGAGCACAGCCTGGACCAGCTCAGGGAGACCTTCCCGATTGGACCAGAGAGACCATGTATCCAAGGAGGAAGACTCCAGTGGAGTCGTCTTCCAGCCAAGCGTCACAAAACCCTGAGCAAGTTGGTGGAATTGTTCGAGTCAATACTGCCGCAGTTTGCCTTTGCTCACCGGGGGAGCAGAGAAGGTGACACTGAGGTCACTTTGAATTGGGATGTGCTGGCTGTTTGCTGGTCTTTATTGTTAACGGACACCAGAGGCATTCCACGTGTCTGCTGTAAAATCCTGTGTCCTATAGATGGAGATGTTCAGAGAAAGCCACCAAGTTTTCTTAGAGCCATTAAGGAAACCTTTGATGTGTTTGGCTGGCAGTGGGCCATCCGTGAGAACAGACCTTCGGATCACAATCTGTAGTGTCTTCTTTCCTGGGCTTTGATTATTGCTTGTGGCCAGCCAGAAGGGACCCTGCCTTGGCCAGCGTACTCTTGTGGAGGGATGAGACTAACTGTTTAGTTCAGAGTTAATGCAGGGCACAGAGGAGCAAGGAAGACCAGAGTATTCAGAAAGGGCTCCGAGCAGCCAGTCTTTAAGGATGGATAGAATTTGAAATGAGGAGGAAGGAATTCAAGTTCCAAGGGATCATTAATAATAGCTACCATTATATACGTGGAAGGGAATGTTATTCAGCCTTAAAGAGAAAGGAAATTCTGACACGTGATGCAACGTGGATGAACCCTGAAGGCATCATGCTAAGTGAAATAAACCTGTAACAAAAAGTCCAATATGTGATTTCACTTATGAGGCAAATTTATAGAGACAGAAGGTGGAGTGGTGGTTGCCAGGGGCTGCGAGGAGGGAATGGGAGTTACTGTTTAGTGGGCACTGAGTGGGCACAGAGTTTCAGTTTGGGAAGAGAAAAAAAATCTGTGGATGGATGGTGGTGATGATTGTGCAACAGTGTGAATGTACTTACTGCCACTAAACTACGTACCTAAAAATAATTGAAATAGTAGATTTGCAAATTTTAAGAGCTAGGCGTGGTATGTGCACCTGCAGTCCCAGCTACTCAGGAGGCTGAGGCAGGAGGATCGCTTGAGCCCAGGAGTTAGAGGCTACAGTGAGCTATGATCATGCCTGTGAATAGCCACTGTACTGCAGCCTGGGAAACATAGGAGACCCTGTCTCTAAAAAAAACTTTTTTTAATTTAAAAAAAGGTAAATTTTCTGTTACATGTATTTTACCACAATTTAAAACATAAATTTACAAAAAACGTAGCTAACTTTTATTGAGCACTTGCCGTATGCCCTGCCAAGCCCCATCCAGAGCACTTCTTGTGTAGTTCTCAAAATAGCCATGTGAAGTAGGCACTGTTACTGGTTTTGTTTACAGAGGTGGAACTCGAAATTTGCAGTGATTGAGTAAGTCTCCCAAAGCCAGGTGACTAGTGAATGGTCCAGTGTGGATCGAACCTGGATTTGTGCAAGTCTGAATCCCATGCCCTTAAACCCTGTGCTGTGTGAGCAACAGTCTGAGACACAGGAACTGGAGCAAGGTCACCCTCCGCCCCACCCCCATACCAGGCACCGACTTCTGACGGTCTACGGTTTTCCTAGATGTTGCCTCATGCTGCTAATGGTGGCGACTTGTTTTCCACCTACTTCCAAGAGGCCACTGCTTCCTTCAGGCTCCTGGGTTCAGCCCTTGTTGCAGCTTTAATCTGACTTTCCCCATGGCTTGAAGGTTTGGGGAGTTGTAAATTGGCTGTAGCTGACACATAATTATTACACACGACCCTGATTTTAAGGAGTGACCCATGTCGCCCCCTCTGTTGCAGACCACAGTGATAGACTACGTGAAGCCCTCGGATCTCAAGAAGGACATGAACGAGACCTTCAAGGAGAAGTTTCCTCACATTAAGTTAACACTCAGCAAAATTAGGAGGTACCAGAGTCACCACCCCTTGAACTTTCCCTCCAGATCCCTCTTCTAGCACACGTTAAACGTGTGATTTGCTCGATGGTTCTTCCTGTTGTTCTAGTCATTGAAGCAGTATCATATTCAGCAAAAAGAGACTCCCCGGTGCTGACTGACTTGTGCCTCGGTGTGGCGGGGAGGGCTGGGGGAGCGGGACAGAAGGCCAAGCCCCGGACCCCCACTTGACAGAGATCTAGGGGGAGGGTTCTTTAGTGAAAGAATCACTTCATGCTGTCTGCAGCTCACTGGTTGCATAAGATGCCCATCATGGAAAACTCAGAGAGGATGGGCAGCACTCAGATCTCTACTTTCTCAAATGTAGGCCAAGCAGAAGAGAAAAGAGTTGGTATCGCAGGGTGTGAGATGACTCTGCCCGAAGTTATGCGCCCAGAGGTGACCGCCAGCCAAACCCCGTCTTTAGCCATCACCACAGCAGCCAAAGCAAAGCCAGGCCCGTATTTCCCTGTAGCTGGATGGATTCACCATGTGGTGACCCACGTCTGCCGGCCAATAGTCAAGACGACTGGCAAACATGCAGTACACACATGCACACACGTGTGTATATATGCATGTGTAGTAATGGAAGCTAGATACACCCGAGTGTGATATTGGAATATATGTCAACATTTACATGAGTGTGTCTCCTAATAACTGATTTGATTCTGGCATGTTCCAAACCAAAGAATCAAAAAAATAGAGAAAAATTAAGCATTCACACTTGGTCCCTTTGCTAGGGGGATTCCTAAGGATGCTGATTTAAGTTATGCTCTTAGCCTAACCCCTTTTCTGCCCTAGTTAATGAAGTAACAGGTACTTGGCCGGGCTCAGGCCAACTGCCCCATTTGTTTCTCTAGTCATCTCTCTGGAATGATTTTAGTTTCCCAGATATTGTCCTTCCTTCGTGTTGGACAGCTTCACTCCTGGTTTCCAAGGAGACTCTGGGATATCCACTGTGTTCAGTGGGGTCCTCCTGTGTCCTCTGTCGTGGTCATTAGAGCCAGGGCTGGTCACTCTGCTGATCTAGGCTGCTGTCCCTGTCCCCTGTCTGTCACCATCCTGGCAGTGGTAGTAGCACAGCACTGCCGGGTCAGGGGTGAGAGTAAAATAACATGTTGGTCTGTACAACTCGACCAACAGAGAAGAGTCCAGAGTCCCAGATAACTAAGTCTCCTCTCCACACACAGTGTAACTGTCACACTTCTCGGATATGATCCTAGTCCACGTCACCCTCTGGGAGTGAGAAGGAGAAAGTGGTTTCGAGAGGGAGTAGTCTCTTTCCCTTGGGTCCCCTGGAACTCTAAGTTGTAACAAGACTCTTCCTCCTCCCTGTCTCTCTAGTCTGAAACGGGAGATGCGGAAGCTGGCTCAGGAGGACTGTGGCCTCGAGGAGCCCACGGTGGCCATGGCCTTTGTCTACTTTGAGAAGCTCGCCCTCAAGGGGAAGCTCAGCAAGCAGAACCGGAAGCTTTGTGCTGGCGCGTGTGTGCTGTTAGCAGCCAAAATTGGAAGTGACCTCAAAAAACACGAAGTCAAGCATTTAATTGACGTAAGTGGCCTGTACCCTGATGGCTGGGAGAGCGCAGACTCCATACACCCCACTCCAGGGTTCTTCTCTCAGAAGGACCCGGCCGGCGACCCTGCCAGAAGGATTCTGGTCCTTAGCGGGCAGCAGAGATGAGGGCTGTGAAGCCGTCCTTCCTGCAGGGACATCAGACGCCCATCTCAGGCTGTCTTACAAGAAGCGATGATCTACTCTGACAAGACAAATAATCCCCAGTGTTGGGTTTGCCCATAAAAATCCATTTGCAGACACCATTCGAGGTAAAGTCACTCTCACAGCCATAGAAGACATGGTAACCTCAAGGGGTCTCATGGGCAGCGTGGCCCACAGAGCATCCAGCATCGGACACGTTGGTTCAACAAGACCTTGGCTTCCTGCTGCCTTGATCGTCTCCTCTTTGGGGAAGGGCGTGGGTTTGATAGGCTGGTATCTCTTTTCCTTTAAAGCAGAGCCCCTACCAAAGCAAGGAACCACCAATCTCCTTGGATGGATGTGTGAACGTCTATTTTAAAACTCAGCGTATTAATAGAAAATTTGAGGTACAGTAAAGCCAACAGATCAGGAAGGAGACAGTTGCCATTGAGAAAATAGTTTGTTACAGTTCTCAGGAGGAGAGGGGTATCTTAGCTGGTGCTGCCATAACAAAATACCATAGACTGGCCGGGTGCAGTGGCTCACACCTGTAATCCCAACACTTTGGGAGGCCAAAGAGGAGGATCGCGTGAGACCAGGAGTTCAAGACCAGCCTGAGCAACATAGTGAGACCTCATCTCTACAAAAAATATAAAACTTATCTGGGCCTGGTGGCGTGTGCTTGTAATCCCGGCTACTCAGGAGGCTGAGGCAGGAGCATCGCTTGAGCCCAGGAATTTGAGGTTGCTGTGAGCTGTAATGAATGACACCACTGCACTCCAGCCCAGGCAACAGTGAGACCCTGTCTCAATAAAAAACAAAAAACAAAACAAAAAAAATTACCATAGACTTGGTAGCTTAAACAACAGAAATGTATTTCTCTTATTCATAGTTTTGAAGGTGGGGAAGTCCAAGGTCAGGGTACAAGTTGCTTCCTTTCCTGGCTTGCAGATGTCTTCTTACTCTTTCCTTAATTTTCGGGAGAGAGAGAACAAGCTCTCTGGTTTCTCCTGATAAAGACACTGATCCCTTCATCCATGCCCAGGTCCTTATCTAAACCTAATCACTCCCAAAGGCCCCACCTCCTAACACCATCACATTGAGGATGTGCCACCAGCACGTGAACTTTAAGGGGATGGGAACATTCAGTCTCTAACAAGGGGCATGCCATGCCATGGGGGCCCCACAGGGAGGCATTGGGCTTGGTGAGGAGGGAGAGGGGAGAGCTGTGCCCGCAGCCTTTGTTGTGGTTTTCACAGAAAGGAATGGGCAAGGCAGGGTACACAGGCTTAGGATTGGCTAGTTTGGATAATTTCAGTGGGCTCTGGGGCATAGGAGCTGCCCCTAAAAGATACCTGCCCTGGGGCGAGATTAGGCAGGGTAGAGGCCTGGAGTACAAGAGTCCAGAGAGGAGGTGGGGTATGAGCACTGGATTGAGTGGTTTGCATTTGAAAATGGGTCACTGTGGAGGATTTGGCTAACCCTAGGAGGAGCAGTCCCTCCAGGGTCAACAAAACCCCAGATCACTTATAATTTTTGTTAATATTTATCATCTGAATACCAAAAATAAAAGACATGGTTGATACAGTGCCCCATATGTCTCACTGTCCAGCTGTCTCTAGCGGCAAAGGCAAAAAAGCAGAAAGGACAGTGTGTAGCACTCCCTGTGAAAAGGAGTATTCTTTGGGTCGTGCTTTATTGATATTAAGAAATGGTACGGAGTCATATAGCTTGTACAGTAAATACACGAACAGGGAGGTGATCATTGGGTACCAAGATAGGCTTATATAGATACTTGTTGAACTAGTGTATCTTTAGATGTAACAAATATATTAAAGTTATAAATGATATTACACGTTTGGTCATAGTTGAGTAATGTACCATACAGCAAAAGCTGGTAGTATTAACACAGAATATAACAGTAATGGTTTAATGAGCCATTTGCAATAGCCATAACCCAAAGCCAGATCCCACCCAGTTATGATCTGAATGTAGTCAACAACTAACTTGGTTGGTGAGACTTTTTATTAAGCTAAAAGCTGAGTTTAAGCCGAAGCAGAATGTGCCTGAGCAAAACGAGGCCTTCCCTGCCCACCCTCACCCTGGTGGTCCTTCTCCATTCCTCACTCCAGCAGCCCCTGCCGTTAGTGGGCAGGTAGAGCATCGCTGGGCACTACCCCTGTTTAGCCGTGTGACACTCTGAAAGTGGGGTGATGTCCCCAGGACTCGGGTCCTTATGTATAAGGACCGTTACCAGCTCACCTCCTTCTGAACTTACCATGTGGTTGTTAGTACAGGTAGTTTGCCCCATTTTTAGGCTACCCTAGCCTGAATAACTTAGTTTTAGCAGGTGAAGTTTGAGTCCCCGTTAGGTTTGAATCTCAGCGCTGCAATTTACTGCCCATGTGACCCTGGACAAGTTCTGTGACCTGTTGCAGCCTGTTTTCTCATCTGTAAAAACAGATAAATGTAGCATCAGCCCTGTAAGATCATTGAGAGGATTGAATGAAGTCATATGCCATGGGTGAGGCTCCGGACAGACCGCAGGCACTCGGGGAAGTGCGGTTCCCTCACCAGCAGGACCGAGGGCAGGACGCACAGGCTCGCCCGGGATGGGTTTCCCCGGAAGCGCTCACTGGCTAGTGGACAGAGAAGTTAAGTTGCATAGGACTTGAATTTCAACACTAACATTGCTTTGGGTTTGCTTCTTGTTGCAGAAACTGGAAGAGAAGTTCCGGTTGAACAGGCGAGAACTGATTGCCTTTGAATTCCCGGTGTTAGTGGCCTTGGAGTTTGCCCTCCATTTGCCAGAGCACGAGGTCATGCCCCACTACAGACGCCTGGTGCAGAGCTCCTAGCACCCACCCCGCGGCGGCCCGAGGCCCGTGTCCTTCCAGCTTGGTGGAGCAGCACTTACTACTGGAAATGCAAAAGTAGAACTCAAAATACCAGACTTTTCTTCCTCTCAACATGTTTTTGCGGAGAAGCAGTGCCGGAAACCTTCTAGGGACTCCTCGGTCCGGCCGGCCGCGGAGAGGAGACGTGCTGACAGCAGAGGCCCTTCCTGCTCTCCACTGTCGGGAACTCGTGGCTGCCCCCGCTCCCATCTTCCTCCCGGGCACGCACAAACCTCGCATGTGGCCCAGGGCCTTCTCTCTAGACCTGTTCCTTCTCGGAGTGTGAAGGGCTTGAGCAGACGTGGGAGAGAATCTGCAGAAGTTGGGAGAGAGCTTGGAAGAGACACCCTCACTGTGTCAAAGAGTGTGCCAATGTATTTTTGTACCAGCCGTTGGAAGTGCAATTTCCCTGGGGCGCGTGGGTGTGTGAGTGCGCCAGTGTCTGGGAGATACTGCCTCCGCCCTCGACCCCCAGAACCAAGCCTACCCTTTACCGAGCGGACCTCAGCCTGGGGTCTGAGCCAGGCTGACCTTTGGCAGTTCTTTCTAGATGATTTCTGGCTAAGAATCACTCTCTCCGTACCAGACTGTTTGACATCCTCTGCTCTTAGAAAAGGCTACTGTTCCTGTCACCTCCAAGGGGACAAACAGACGAGCTCTCAGTGTTGGATGAGCCCCGTGGAAAGGCACGGAGCGTGGCGCCCTGTACCTTCGTGCCGTCTGCCGCCGCAAAGCGTGCGCGTGTTCAACCTTGGCACTTTCCCCACTGTGGAGACGGCTGGGGCGGCGCTCCACGGAGTGTGTCCCTGTGCTCTATGTTAGAGTGCATACTAAGCACATTTGCCGTGCTACATATATCTACATAGAAAAGTATTTTATAAAAATCCAGAATAGAAATGAGACACGGGATTGGTGTTTGGCATTTGCCAGCTGAGACAAACTCCAGTTCGCGCTGCGGTTGAGCCAACGGAAGAGGCGACGGCGCTCATCATTCCCACGTACCCAGGGCTGTCAGTGCAGGATTTTAATTGTGACTTGTCCTGACTCACTGGGACAACTTGCGGTAGGCACGTCACCAGGCTGTCACCTCATAGCCGTGAGAGAGGGAGGTGCCAGTTGGGGTTCCCCTGACCGAAGAGAGCCTGTGGCCATGTAAAAAGAGAATTAAACTCTTGTCGTTTTACATATATCTGTATGTGTTATGCGTAGACACGCGTGTCTCCCCAGTCACCTCTGCCTTCCACTGCTGATCCGTCCGCCACCCCCGACTGCACACACGGATTCTAGTGAGGCCACACATTTGGAGCTTCTGACGGCACCCGGAGAAGGGGCGATGGGGGAGCGGAGTGTAGACGCTTTCCTTAGCAGAGCTGTCAGACTCTTGACAGTCCTGTGGGATGGAGAAATTCAGGCAGCAGCTGGTGGGGGCCAAAACAGAATACTTGGCTTCTTTAGAATCTTAGATTGGACTGAGTTTATTTTGCTAAATATTTTGCTAACAAATTTCCTTGACTGGAATCAGTTGTAAGATGGTGATTTGGGTGGGGACAGGGGGATATGATTAATGTGGTCTCCTTGGCTGATCAAAAGCTAGATCAACTAATACTTAAGGGGTACCTACTGGTTATAAGGCAAATTGGGAAGCATAGTATGTTCAAGGCGTTGCCTTTGCCTGAACTGCAAAATGCCCTAGCCCTTCCTCTCGTGGTATTGGTCACCTTGCCTGCTTCTGGTGACCCACCTGGCTCTCTGCCACCCAGTTCCCTGGCCTGGCCTGCAGGTGGACAGCCTTCCTGCGAAGCAGGGCCTCCAGTATCTAGAAATGGCCCAGGAAGCTCCCCACCACCGTGCCTTGCGTCTCCTGCCAGGCTCAGGGGACGTCCGATGGACAGCACAGGCCACCAGCCCAGACATGTCGAGGGATACCTGTGTCCTTTCCTGTCTTAAAATCAGGCTAATTTTCTTGGATTTGGGGTGATTCTTTTGGTTTTTAGTGTTTATGAGATGAACTCATGAAGTTATTGGTCCATTTCTATTTAAAGACACATTTTAATTTTAAACTCTAGTCTGGCCTGTGGGTTTGTTGCATGGGGAGTTTTGTTGGTTTTAATTTATTTGGCAAGGGTGGAGGCATTTCATCAAGAAATGCCTGCTTTTGCATGTCCGTAACACGAGCTTTCCAGAGGCAAAGGAAGACACAAAGGGGGGTGAGACACGCTGTGAAAAATACAGGTCACTGCCAGAGCCGCCACTGTGGTACGGAACATTCCAGACACTTCCCAGCCTTGGGCTTTGGCAAGGAGGAAGCCTGAGCCTGTGCACCCAGAAGGCCACTTAACGGACTGGTTCTGAGGTTTTGCTTTTTGACTTTCACCACTGACCCTGCAAGCCTCGCTCCCTCTCAGTCTCCCCACCCCTCCCTTCCCCGCCCCCGCATACAAACACCTTCGGGGAAACTCCGCCCGGCTGCAGGCCCCTTAGGACAACACTAGCCGGTTCTGCCTGACTCTGTCCCCGGAGCCCCTCTCTCTAGTCAGCCCTGATAGTTAGGTAAGAGATGGGGACCACGTACGCAGCAAGGTTGGAGCAGCTGCCCTAGGCAGGAAGTGGGCAGCAGGGAGCTGTCCCGGAGCTGCGGGTCCCTACCGTCCCTGCCCTAGGGGCCCAAGCCCCAGCCAGCCCAGTGACACTTAGAAGTGACCACTTTTCCTTCTTTTCCTCCCTAATAAAATCTACGTTAAAACAGGAAATCCATACTAAATGCAGATGCCTTTTGTTTTCTTTGGCTTTTTTTTCTGATCACAGATGCCCCTGTGGAGTTTCTGCTGTCCTTAGCCGCAGGCTCAGAGTGGGGCGGTCACCTAGTCCACACAGATCACACTGCACCGTGTGCCCTCCCTTAGTGACTGGGGAGCAGGGGAGGTCGGAGCTTCCTTCCCCTCCTTGTTATTCCTTCCTGTTCCCTTCATCCCCCAACAGCAAATAAAACCGTTTCATGCTCTCGCTCTGAATTCTTTGTCTCCCGCTCAGATGTTTCCGGGTCAGCGCTGAATGGCTGGCCCTCCACCCTGCCTGCCCCCTGCCTCCTGTGACTCGGGACACCCTGAAGCCTCTGGCCCCTTTGTAAGCTGCAAATGGGGGCGGTGGGGAAGAGGGGGCTGAAGAAGAAAGTAAATTTGATCCACTTAGTTTGGGTACCTGTTCATTGTGTTATCTGTCCAAGGTGGAAGAAGCCCTTCAAAGCAAGGGGTCTGTAGGGGGACTGTCCCCAGAGCTTTCCTCTCCCCAGGGCAGCCGGAGGTCACCTCCCTGAGGCTGTCAGTGCAGTTTGGTAAGGACAGTGCCAGCCAGGACACAGCTGGCCCAGGTAGGGGAGTGCTGACGGCTGGAGAAACCTCAAGAGGAGTCGTGCATTGTTCACGCCAACCTAGAAGGTGGCTCCCAGTAGCGCAACTGCAAGGTGGAACTGAGACAAAAAGCTGGAAAAGAAGAAAATGACAGGTGAAGGGAAAGGTCCCCTTGCCACCTCCATGTGCCCAAGCCAAAGGGCCCCAAACTAGACTAGGAAAGGTGCTGTCTCAGGAGCCCCACCCCAGGCAGGACCATTCTGACTTCTACGTAGATACTCCAGAAAGTCTGCAAACGTAGGGCTGGCCAAACCACAACGGTACCTGGCGAGGACTGTGCCTCCCTACGCAGATGCCTCTGGACTGAACAATAGGGTAATGTCCCGATAAACCCACTGTAAGTTGAAAATAATCAAGTCAAAAATGCGTTTAATACATTTAACCTACGGAACACCACAGCTTAACCTACCCTTCCGTAAACACTCTCAGAAAACTTTCAGTACAGTATTCAACCAATAGCATGAGGCACTCAACGCTGTTATAAAGTAGGCTTTATGTGAGATGATTTGGCCCAGCATCAGGAGAGTACGTACAGCACTCGACTGGCCCGGGAAAAGATCAAAATGCCAAGTGTGGTTTCTACTGAATGCTTTAGCACCATTGCAAAGTTGAAAAATCACAGTTGAGCCATTGTAAGTCGAGGGCCAGCTGTATACCATCTCCCACTACCATCCTGCACCTCGGTGTGGGCCAAAGACCAACAGCCTCCACATCACTGGGATGCTTGCTAAAAAAATGCAGAATCTGGCCTGGCATGGTGGCTCCCGCCTGTAATCGCAGCACTTTGGGAGGTGGAGGTGGAAGGATCACTTGAGGTCAGGAGTTCGAGACCAGCCTGGGCAACACAGTGAGACCTCGTCTCCATAAAAAAGAAAAATTGTCTGGGTGCGGTAGCACTTGCCTATAGTCCCAGCTACTCGGGAGGCTGAAGCTGGAGAATCGTTTGATTCCAGGAGTTTGAGGTTGCTGTGAGCTACGATGACACCACTGCACTCTAGCCTGGGCAACAAAGTGAGACCCTGTCTCAAAAAAAGAAAACATGCAGAAGATACATTCTGAGGGTTCCTGGGTGACATGTGTGCATATTAAAGTCTGGGAGGCACCATTCCTCCTTATAAACACAGGACATAAAATTGGGTAAAAAAAAATATATCACTCATCATGTAGAGAGTTGGTCTAAATTAGAGAAAGGTGCAGAGAAAATGTAGATGTTCTTTAATGCCAAAAAGAAAAGTACCAGCCTCTCACTGTAAGGTAGTTTTGGCATCTGTTTCCCTAACTGCCTCACTGAATTTTTTTTGCATGCACAAGGCCAAAAAAATTTAAACTAGAGCAAGCTACAGCTAATGTACAGGGTCCCAAGCACAGAGCTGACTTACAGAGCATCACCTCGGCCAGTGTCGATTAAGGTCGCTGCTCAGATGGGGCCTGTATCTCAGGTTCTCAGGCCATGGACAGAGAGGTGGGATGGGGGAGAGTCAGGGCTACGACAGTACTGGAGCATGATTCTCTACTGTAGGTGGGGGCCATGCAGCCATGACCTTGGGGACGTCCCATGGATGAGCATGCCTCCAGTTTGACTCACATTTATTGAGGTCACCTGGTGTTTATCAAATGTCTCACACTGGGTCTCACACTGGATTCTGTGGGCTTCCAGATGTTGGACAGAGACCCCTGGGGGTGGGTGGAAGGCACTTGGTGACACTGTCCTCCATACGGAGCCTTAACACGGAAGCTCAAAAGGGAAGGGACAGGAGAGGGCCATAGACTCAACCAAGGCCAAGGCAGCAGGGCTGGAAATCGGTGCTCAGGAATCAGCCTGGCACACAGATGACCGAGTGGGCCAAGATAGAGCAATTGTTTGGTCCCAAGAGTAAAGACCAAGATACTAGAACTGACAAGTTGGGTGCTTGGCCAGAAGATGGGTAGGAATGATATCCGGAACTCGTTACCAGGGCACCTGGACAGTCAGTGAGAAACCAGAGACATGAATTGCAATAGGCAGATAAACCCTTGGACCCAGTGTTCGACAAGGGGACAGAGCTCGACAGGACTTAATATTAACAAGCAGAGATCTCGTGCCGGCCCTGGGCTAGGCACTGAAAGCACCCATTTCACAGATGAGGAAAACTGAGGCGCTGAAACATTACATCACACTCCCAATGACACACGGTTACAGAGTGACAGAGGCAAAATTCAAACCCAGCTCTGTTTGATTCCAAAGCCCAACCAGCTGTCCTGCCTCAAGCTTAGGTGACAATAGAGAAACTAAGAAGGTGGAGCACCAAAGCCAGGCTGAGCCAGATGCTGGGGAGATGCTGCCCTGCCAGCTTCAGGTTAAATGGGGCCTTCTCCCTGCCCCACCCAGCCACCACCAGCCTGTTCCCATGCAGAGAGAAGGGATCCGTGGCCACAAAATCCATAGCATTGTCCTCTTGGGTATGAGTGGCCTCCAGATCTGATGTGTGGCACTTCTGGGCCCCCTGGTAGAATGTGGACTGTTTGGAAAACTTGCTTCTGTAACAGGTTAGCGAAGGGGCTTTGAGAGTATCTAGAAGATTACGAGCTGTCTGAGACTATTTATGCTCAGCCCCCAAATGTCACTGGCAGACTCCGACTCACCTCCACTGGCAGAGCGCAGGCCCCATGAGACGCGCTGAGAGGCACCTCCACGGACCTTACCCGCTACTCTAGACCACACGCAGGGCGTCCGC